CAAGTACATATTCACTGAAAAGATGTGTGTATTGTGTGTGCATTCTGATTCTTCGAACATTGTTATATTTATGCAGTCTATCAAAAAAGAATTATACAGTAATGACAAACCACAATTATGGGTTAAAAACCTAACCCATATACCTAACCTAACGGTATTAGTTTGTCCCTAGTACATAATAATCTAAAAGGTCACAAAATAGTTTATACGACATATCGTCTATGATATGGTTTGCGTGGAGGGACGACCTACGCTTGATAAGGATTATCAGTGTGCTGGGCGTTCTTGATTATGCATTTTTCTCATCTGTACAAATAGTGAAATGTCGTTATTCAATAACAAAAATTGAAATTATATGTCAATTATAAGGATGTAGATGTTTTATAATAAGTTTTAAAATTTTTCATGATAGAATAAACACTTATGGTTTCCTAAAAGAGTTTGTTCTTTACTCTGGTGGTACAATAAATAGTCAATAATATATTTTTAATTTTGTATACTATAGTAATACGAGTGCACCTGTTGCTCGAATCCGAGCAATTGCAAAGTATTCCAGACGTTATTTCAAAACGTTAGGCCGACTTAAAAGAGTCAACTCAAAAATAATGTTATCATTCACTTCCTTACAGCTATTACAGTTATCAAAACTGAAAACAAACTCACTCTGAAAACGAATGCTTTTGTGTGTATCATATGTGTTTACTATGAACAGTGGTAATTAATACAAATCATTCTTCTGTTAAATAGACAAAATATTTTCTTCATACGAAATACATTGGGATTTTGATGGCCTGTGGGGCAAAGCCCGAGAACTTTTGTAACAGGAATTGGTGAAAGGGGGCGTCTACACAAAAAGTACTTAATTTTGACACATCGTTTGTAAAAATCCGTCCATTATTAATGGAGAAGTAGTGTTTCGTAGAAATCGCCTTCACGTATTATGTAAGGATGTATTTTGTATTGTAAACTATGTTAGTTCAGATACATAGAATTTAAAAATCTGCAATTTTTAATAAGAGTAATCTGTTGCTTGGAAACACCCAAAAGCAACAAAAACACATTCTGTGAGGAAGCTACGACGTAATAAAAAATATCCCCACCACAGTAAACCTGCAGACTAATTTCCATTTACCTGGAATTGGATTTTCAATTAAATCTATTTCAATAGCATTAGTTGTAACAAGTACCTAGGCTTCGGGGTAGGACAGGGGGTTAATAAAGTGTGTTTTAGTAAAATATGAATACTTAGTAAAAAATAAATAAATTTGCCAAGTTTGATTAAAATATTGTCATGAACAAGTAAACTACACCAGTTTACTTATTCTCCAAAAGAAAAACATGGGAATTTTGAATTTACAATTTATTAAATTTATCCGTAACAAATAAAGTTAAAAACGCTTAAATACATTTACCAAATTATTTGTTCTTAAGCTCTTTAAAATTGTTTAAGAGAAATTAGGAAAAAACTGAGAAAACCCATTTTTTTACTCCTTAACACTACGTTCTCATAGTCCGATCATGCTGGTTAGCGAACTCAAGTTCATCCCGGCCTACACTTTCAAGCCAAATTTAATCAAAATTGGACAAAAACTATTTAAGTTCATAAAATAGATAATCACATTACGGACATTGATTGAGTTTGTTTACTTCTCAAGAAGCTCCCCTTATCTATGAAGGTAAGAAGTTACGATCCACTACTTGTGTTGGGGTTTCAAGTGAAGTGTTCCGAGCTCTTGAATCAAGTGATAATTATGAAGTGATAACGCTTGGGATCAATACATCAATGCTAACAATGCCGCGTATATCTTGGGATCACTTGAATAACTTAATCATAAAATAAAATGTAGGGTGATTTATTAATAAATGTTGTAATGCCTAGCCCATTTTAAATTTGGTCATTCTCTGCAAATTATTTTGTATTTGGTTTATTTTATTCCATCTGAACTTAGACATCAAAGCTCTTAAAAGGTAATCTAACTTTAATCCTGGTAATCATGTGCTGGTCTGAGATTTCTTTTTAATAAGATACTGTAGTGGTAAAGATGTATTATTTACTTGAATACCGGAACCTCTTATCAGTTTCACCCTTTATCAAAATTCAAGTAGGCAAGATATGAGGATAATCATAATCAAACTATCAGTATATACAGTCAATCCTGGAATGCTGTACAGGCATTGTTTGTAAGCTACTCAATGTAGCACACAGTTTTTGCTGCAAGTGTTATACTTACTCTTACACCTACGTAAACAGTCAACAGAACCTACTGCGACTTGCAGACGCCTAGTGCACCTGCAAAGATGACAAGTTGACAATACAAGTTGCACAAATACACACTACTTGTACAGCTTTTATTTCCGAGCGTTGGATATAACATAGACAAATAGAATTAAATGCAAACCGAAAGCAGTGCTGCGGTTAGTATACGTTCTTGCGTCCACCGCTAGGAGTGCCGTGTAGTTACGTAGCACGTGCGCATTAACTACACTGCGCTCCAAGTGGTGGACGCCAGAACTTATGCTAATCGCAGAACTGCTGTCGGTCTAATAATATTTACCATTACATAGAAAATGATAGAATCGTGTGTTACACCCTATTGCATTTTTTTTAAGTACGATAGAAAACATCTACTTGCAATGTTTCAATTTGGCACAAGCTATACACAGTTAGGTAGCAGAGTAGTTTTACAGTACTCTTCTTTTCAACAGAAGGTTGCCGGTTTGATTTTTTAAAAAATCTCTGTTGAATTTTCGAAACTGGACTCTAGCTGTCCTTGATCATTAAAATTTGAATTATGGTCCCAGCCAAAGAAAAATCTGTTCTTCGATAGTAACAAAGCTACACACGGCATCTCACTTCTTACTACACTCATTATTAATTCAAACTTGGGTTGAAATGCATCCTATTGCGCCCCCGTCTTAATCTTATCAGTAACTATAATAATGCATAGTGTATGAACTTTTACATTCTTTTACTTGTAAATCTTGATCTTTATTGCAACTTTCAACAGTTCAGCTAGAACTGTCTTGTACGCTTCTTTTGGAAAAAATACTCCTACCTTCAGTCAACGCAGAATGTTAATTGTTGCAAATCAACCAATGAGAGGAAGGTTTTGTCTAAAAACACAAGGACTGTCTAGACACGATCGTCTGTGAATGTCTTGTATGCAGCATGGCGATCACGTCTGAGACGCAGACACTGAAAAACTTTCATTCACTCATTGTAACCAGTCATCAATGCCTGACCATCTATGGAAGCTAATCCACGGAATGCTTCGTATCTCATTGTCACAACAAAGTCATATTTAATTATTCTAAGGAGAAGTCGTTTTTATTACGTTCTTTCACAACACATCCAAATTCTTTCGACAAACTAAGCTTTAATAGAAAAATATTTTGATTTAGTTGAATATTGTGAATGTTATCTTTGAAAAATAACCTGAGGAGTCCTTACAACAAACGCAATAGTTCAACAACTGTTTTTGACGTTTTTCACATCATAACCTTACACTGTTACCTGAGAGCCACAGAAATTTATTAGATGATTAGATATGAGGCACATTTCAAGTTTTGGTGCGATTTTTTTTGCAAAAATAATGAAACAAAAACCTACTTAAGGAGCCTTTTAGAACTAACAAAGAACCATTTAACCTCAGTCAGTAGCAGGATGTAGTTATTTTTGTTCATCAATCGTGCTCTAAGGGATACAGCACCTTTAAAATTTTACATTGGCTTTGCTTATAGCGAGGGCTTGGAGGTCCATGCTCAAATCCCACTAACGCCCAACACTTCGTAGCTATGTAATAACGTCGTGACCCGATTCTTCGGAATCCGCCTTAAAATGTAGGCCCATCGATTTAGAAAACAAAGAACATAAGTGTTCGAGCAAGGAGAACCTTTTGTTTGGAACACTCCCTGTCCTAAAAATCCTAAAAACCATAATTGAATAAATCTTGCTGAAGCGTTGAATGAGAACACAATTATTGAACAATAGTGCTAAGAGCCATTAGACTCCTACTCATAGCCATTCATAACACACGATAACAGAGTTCGTTACAACAGGCTCTTTGTACCTGACGGTGTTGGTGAAGCTGTAGCGGTAGCGGATGTGGCACGATCGTCTTTCCCGTACGTGACTAGATCAAACCACACTGACATTGCTATCTTAGACGTATATTGTTTACGTAGTAATAGCAGACTTCATGAAAGTAGAGGAATATTAATTTTGTATTATTTTTAAACACCCTTGCCACTATTTTCCCTAACACTCTCAAACTATGTAGAAGTTGCTGCAGAAGTGTTCCTGACGAAATATACAGCAAATCAAAGTATTGCTGTCGGAATAAGCTCATGGAAATAGTCAACCCTACTGGGTCGGTCTACTGGTTACCGCAACCCATATCTAGCCAGTATCTTGTAGCATGAATACCTACAAAATGTTGGGTGGCTTACTTCTCTGTGCCTCTCTGCTCAATATTTATCAAGGAGCATAACTATAACATCTTTGATTTAAAGTTGAAATTTTGAACGAGTTTTGTTCCTGCCTACGAACCTTTGAATACACGGTTTTATCTTCACAGCTTGAAGTAGTTAATATAGTTGGTTGAAGAGGACAAAGTTCTAAAACAGCCTCAGTCCAGTAGGGTTTCAGATCATTGGACTGAAACATCGCGAAGAAGAAGAAAGTATTAGCATAGATAAATCATACTCCCTTATGGTGTTAGTACTAAAAACTACGCAATGTTTACTACGTAGTTGACAGTGCTTGAGGTCCGTTTGGCCATTCACAAAATTTAGGTGGTTTGAGTGGGGGTCCTCAACTGCCTTTTTCTCAATATTAATTTTGCAGCTGACGTTTTGGAAAACCTCAGCTGAAGAATTTTTTTGAATGTAGAAGAAAGTGGAGGGGTTGGATTTCTTCGCCTAAAACCATCTGAGTTTTGTGAATAGATTTTGGTAAAAATACCTTCGTTTTACCTCTAATATATTTTGTTTGGTTCCAGGAGGTGCGGATGAGTCGGTGACCGGTGCGTGCGCGTGTTGACAAGATGGTGCACTCCAGAAGCACCTCGGCCGAGAAGCTGAAGACCCCCGAGGAAGTTCCCTTGCAAGGGGTAGCCTCTGGGGCCGCGGAAGACGATGGAGTCTGCCTCAAGGCCAAGATGACCTTGACCAACGGTATTACTGTGATCGTCGGTAGCATCATCGGCTCCGGTATCTTCGTCAGCCCCACTGGAGTACTCAAGTACACAGGCTCTGTAAATGTGTCTCTCATAGTGTGGACCATCTCTGGACTCTTCTCCATGGTGAGTAAAAGATTGCAAGTCAATTAGGTGGCAAATCTTTGTGAAACTTTCGCTTGTTAGTAGTGTGTTGTTTCAAATCCCATTACTGGGGTTCATTTGTCAATCATAACGCTAAGGAGTAACGCAGTGGAAATGTGAGTTTAGTCAAGTAGTTGTTCGTTTAGGTAAGGTCAACTATATGTGATTTGAAGCCTTGTGGAAAAAATATAAATGTTTTGTGAAGTTTAACGGCATATTACCAGCCACTAACCTCAGAAAATCCATCCATTGTGACCCATAGAATTTTTCAGGTAGCACAAGAACTTTTCAAGCCCCAGTCATAAACTTTTCAACCTTTTATATCATTGTGTATGACAAGAACGCGACTGGCCTCTACCTTCACTTGTCTAACGAATGTTACCTACAACAAACGTCTTCAACTTTTTCCTCAACAGAACAACACTCTCCTTACCTGTTAGTGTTATTTCTTGTATGTTAATTAGCCATCCTGAGTTCTTGTAGATTATCGCAGTGCAACATGTTAAAATGGAGATGCACGTCGAAATAAATAAAAATAAATAAGTAGAACCTTTGTCTAATAGTCAATGGTAGAACCAAGAACCATGGAGGAAGTCCTTCCACCATGACCAAGAACTATACAATCTCCTATCTTTATTTGTGTGGTCTATATAGAGTTGATGGCCTAATTGAGTCAGGCACAGCTGTTGTGGCAAACCTTTTATACAGGACAGTAGGCCCTAATTTAACAGGGTTTGCTTCGCACCTAAATATAGATAACATAAAAGTTATTCAGTGTGTCGCGTGTCAGATATCTGGTGCTTTCACGGTCTATCGCGTGATGTGTGGCTCTGTTTGCGTGACACAGAGAATGTGTCGTTAAATCATGACCTCTACAACATAATAGTGGAACGTAACTTCTCTCAAAGATAATGCAGGCTACTGGAAACTGACTTGAACACCGTTAACATCCCCCATTCTAAAAAGTAGAACTATTAGGAGACAAGTGAAATTTGATTAACTATTATATCTAACATACAGCTTTTTAAGTTTTTATTCTTGTGCCTCTATCGTCACGAACCAAATCATATGCCAAAGGGTACGAAAATATAAAATGGAGAGTTGACATACATCGTGCTCTAAGCAAAGGACTACTGAACCTAATTCCAAACCTAGGGACAGTTACTATTTGAATTGAGGGCTGAAAAAATGAAACGGAAAGACTGGATTCCTTAACTTAAACATTAAAGAATATCATACCGATGTTGTTGGTGTTGTGTGATAACAAAGTAGTAGTTTTGAGTTTTGCCTTCGTGGTGGGATTCTCTAATGAACGCGATTCGCCACGGTTTTATTGTCAACTATTTTTTATTGATTCAAACATCAGTTTTCTCGTGCACAACCCTATAGTGGTCAAGTGGTTTTATGGTTAAAGCATAAAGTTCAGAAGCCTGGGTTCAATCCAGTCAATCGTCAGTGGATGTTTGGCATGATTTTAAGCAGTTTTAGTAGGCCTATCACGATAAGCTGAAGCTTCAATTTATACAACACGTAAAAGATATCTCCTATGAGAACTATATTGGCAGGGGATATCCCCTTAAAAGGAACACAGTACGATCTTTATATACACCAACTTTAATATTTTGCATGACCTTCTCCGTTGCCTATCTTCCATTACCATTCACCCTACGCCCTATTTTAAAATCGTAAAAACCTACTTCATAAAAAAACTTTTAAAAAATCGAACTCAACGCTATTTAGTACCCTTGTAACATGACCATTCCGACAACTTCCTACCACACGAAACACTGTAGCTATATGCAAACGCAAAGCCTCAATTTGGTCCTAACGACCTGTCTTGCCGGATAACGCTGTGCGAACGATCGAAAACCGGCTGTACCCCTTCATTATCACAGCCAACAGCCTCCAGCATGATGAAACCGATATCCTCAGTGAGGGTCGGTCTTTTGTACCAGCATTGCGAAACCAGACCTCAACTCTCGCATTGTCTTGGCACGCTACAGGTGACGTTGGATCAATAGGGTTTGACAACAGATCTTGGAGTCATGCAGTTTGAAAAAACAATACAAATTCAATGATTTTGACAATTTTTTTAGTTTTCTTAAGATTTGAACCTCGCCCGACACCATGGACATCTGATCGGTGCTGTGATTTTAATACAGTGAGGTTCCATTACGGATGAGTCATATTGGCAAGATAATGGTACAATAACTGCAATGATAAGATATGCAAGCAGTCTTCTTGAACCTGAAACATCTGAGAATAGAAAACATAAACATACAGTAGTACGCCCTTAGAAGATTTTAGTAGATTTGTCAACAGATCTTGGAGTCATGCAGTTTAAAAGAACAATACAAATTTAAAGATTATGAAATTTTTTTAGTTTTCTTAAGATTTGAAACTCGTCCGTCCGACACCACGGCTATCTGTGCTGCGCTGTGATTTTAACCATTACGGATAAGTCATATTGGCAAGACAATTGTAGGTACAGTAGTAACGGCAACGATAAGAACCTGCAACCTCTGGGATAGATCAAACAATAGACTAAGCAACAAATCTATGACAAAACATAAACATACCTTTTGTCATCCTTGGAACAACTAAAGCCAATTTTATTGTTAGTTCCGTCCGGTGCACTGTAGAGGTCGGGTTTTGTTTACAGTTTGTTTCTTGTTATTTCAGTCATTTAAAACCTCGACTAAGCACAATATAATCAATAATTAAAATACACAGTATATATTTGCAGTAAAGTTTACTGTATACTACCATGATAATAGATACCCCTTTTTGAAGATTTCTTTCAACGTGCCACAAAATTCTTTGGAAACCTCGGGAGGAGTTATAAATTTGCATTTTATTTACTTGCTCTCGAAGAACTTGTTGTTAAATTACTTATTTAATTAACTAAGAAAAACTATCTATAAAAATGTTTTTGTAATAGCTAGACAACCACACGTTTTTTTCTGCATTGTCACTTCATTCAAAGGACGAGTAAGGGTTATAGCACAGCCACCTCTAATACACCTGTATTAGAGGTGGACTATGGTTATAGTCTAGCATTACCTTATAAACTACTTCGACCAGTTAAACAGACCACACGCGTGTTTGCAATTCACTCTGATCTGATAGATAGATGCATATTGATTAATGACGAACTAGTATATAACATTACCTTATAAACTACTTCGACCATATCCTTTGAAAATTCTCAATTTTGAGGTTAACGAGGATACAAATCACCCGACAACCAGACCTCACGCGACGTGTTTGAAACTCACTCTGATCTGATCAATGAAGATTGGAAGGAACGATGTAGGCCTACTAGTATTAAAACATTACCTTATAAACTACGTCCACCAGATCATTAGAACATTCTCAATTTTGAGGTTAACAAGGATACAAATCAACTGACTACCAGATCTCACGCCACGCCACGTATTTGCAACTCACTCTGATCTGATCGATGAAGATTGGAAGGAACGATGTAGGCCTACTAGTATTAAAACATTACCTTATAAAATACGTCAACCAGATCATTAGAACATTCTCAATTTTGAGGTTAACAAGGATACAAATCAACTGACAACCAGATCTCACGCCACGCCACGTATTTGCAACTCACTCTGATCTGATCGATGAAGATTGGAAGGAACGATGTAGGCCTACTAGTATTAAAACATTACCTTATAAACTACGTCAACCAGATCATTAGAACATTCTCAATTTTGAGGTTAACAAGGATACAAATCAACTGACAACCAGATCTCACGCCACGCCACGTATTTGCAACTCACTCTGATCTGATCGATGAATATTGAGTAACGATGTACAAGTATCATTGACTATATAATATAGTCAATGCTAGTATATAACTTTACCTTACAAACTACTTCAACCAGATCATTAGAACATTCTCAATTTTGAGGTTAACAAGGATTCAAACCGACTGACAACCAGACCTCACGCCTCGTGTTTGTAACTCACTCTGATCTGTTCTATGAATATTGAGTAACGATGTACTAGTATCATTGACTATATAATATAGTCAATGCTAGTATATAACATTACCTTATAAACTACTTCAACCATATCATTAGAACATTCTCAATTTTGAGGTTAACAAGGATTCAAACCGACTGACAACCAGACCTGATCACGCCTCGTGTTTGTAACTCACTCTGATCTGTTCTATGAATATTGAGTAACGATGTACTAGTATCATTGACTACCCTATATAATTTAGTCAATGCTAGTATATAACATTACCTTATAAACTACTAGCTGTTGTACCCGTGCTTTGCAACGGGAAAAGAGGACACAAAATGCAAAAAAAGTTAATAGTACTGCACCCTGTTGGTAAACCTTGTAACTTTTTAATGCTATTTAATATCATAGTCTAAGAGTATGTTTTATCTATGGTCTAACCAACTTGTGTAGTTGAAACAGCTGACAAAATTCTTTTATTCCTTTTAAATATGATTACTCATAAGGTTAACATGGGAAACCCCAGAGCCACTGGGGCGGAGCCCGAAAGGACTTTTGAGATAAGAATGCGTCTATATGTTAATCGGGAATGTGAACTATCATCACACCAAATTTCAGCCCGATCCGCAGTATTTTTCGCGTTTACTTGTCACAAACATACATCCATACATCCAAACTTTCTCATTTATAATATTAGTAGGACTTCAACCAGATCATTAGAACATTCTCAATTTTGAGGTTAACAAGGATTCCAATCACCCCACGCCACGTGCTTGTTAACTGACTCTGATCTGATCGATGAAGATTGAGGAACGAGTCCTAGATTTTCTTTGCTCTCGACCTTGATGTATCGATCAGCAAGCCATTACTTAGCTTTAAACCTACACGTCGATCAGTCGGCTAACCTCTTGTCAAAGGAGTGTGTCAAATCTTTTCGCGTTATTTGATTTGACGCATTGTATAACTCACCGGTTTTTTTCTAGTATTCGTGGTATAACTCGATCTGTAAATTCAACCCGAACGATATAATAAAATGTAGCTTGATAAATGGTTATGAATGTAGCTGGTTATGAAGTTTCAATTTTTCAATTGTGAATCTGTGCTAAAGGTGATCTGAGATTATTATTACGATTAGATCAAAAGAGCTTTAGTGTTTCCATTGGGGCGTATATTTTTCTGACAACTTAAAGGTCGCAAATTTATCTCAGTAGTTGTATATATTATATATGTGTGTGCATATACAGTATAACGTTGCTAATAAAATACAGTTGTATTTCCAAATCACACAATTTATGCTTCAATTGCTTAATTGAAAAATAGCAATGAATTGTTATCATACTAATATTATAAATGTGAAAATTTGAGTGTTTGTTTGTTTGTTGTTGTTCAATCACGCATTAACTGCTGGTCGGATTGTGTTGAAATTTGGTATGATGATAGCTCACATTCCCGATTAACATATAGACATATTCTTACCTCAAAAATCCTTTCGGGCTCCGCCCCAGCGGCTCTAGAGTTTCCCATGTTTGTATTATGAGTATTCATATTGAAAAGGAATTAAATAATTTTGCCAGCTGTTTCAACTAGGCCTATTCAATTTGTTTCTATGATATTCAATAGCATTAAAAGGCTATTTTCTCAAAACGTATCCTCTCTCATTGCAAATGCAAAGCATGAGTATTTAACGACAATAATGTATACCAACCCCGTACGAAGGACGGGTACTCAGCTAGTCTACATATAAAGCCCAAAGTACCCATGAACTTTTTAGAAAACTACAAGTCACACTCGCATAAACCACATACTTAAAATGTTCGTCATGACGAGAAATCATTTTTGTTCCAATTCAAGTTTTAACCTTGTACAGTTTTAAAATGTTAATTTTTTCTTGTGTTTCCCAATGGAACATCGGTATCAACGCTCTCCTATTTTTGTCTGGTTCAGTAACGTCGTTAAATTACAGGTTTCGGATAATCGAAATTTCGGATAATTGACCTGCGTGTAACTGACTTTCTAATGTCCACCATTTCGCCTTCCTTCTCCTTGGGGAAGGGTCTTCTGATAGTACGAACATTTCGGAAGATTTAACATTGTGAAATCTTTATCCCAGCTTGGGCTTATGAATCTGCTAACGACATAACAGAATTACACTATTTGTATGCTTCATGCACTCAAAACGCCCCTTTTGTTTTTAAGTCTTCCATTAGCATACCCGCTTATAACATTTTGTGAAGTTTGAAAACCAAAAAATTTTATTTGTGATAGGTAAACGTCTTTATAGGAGTTTGTATTAAGGTAATTAGTTTGTATTTAAAGGATTGTGAAAGTCAGTTTTAGTTCAGTGAAATTTTACTTTTGCAGCCAAAACCAGAGATCAGAGAAAATTAAATTTAAATACTGATCTTTAACAATGCAGTTGCAGCTTTTGACAACTCAGAACATGTTGAAATTGTAGAATACCAGCTTTATGGTAACCTCTAATTGCTTAGAGCAACTATTATAGTTTCGCCACTGAGCCAGTTGGTGCCATCTCATATCTGTATAAGAACTAACTATTGCAGTAATCCTCTTATGAAGACCTTAAAAAACGCCGAAAAATCGAAACAGTACAAGTAGACCACCTTAGTATGTGTATGAAACTGTCAGGAATATTGATGTTAAATGATTAACGATCAGTTTTGTAAACCCCAAACAAAAACAGTGTAAGTCCTCAGCAGCAATTGAATGCTGAGATTCGATACCTTATTATTTCAAAAGAAAATGTCTTGTGGATGTCATTATTAAGAACAGTAGTGACCTATATAGAAAACATGTTTTGACACGTCACCATTTGTTTCTAAAAAGTTTGTAGAACTATCCAACTTTAGCTGCTTCTTCATGAGCCTCTGAATAGAGTGCACAATCATTATACAATAGACCTATCACACATTTATTGTACAGGTTGGGGCCTAGGGGCCTACTGCTACGCTGAGCTGGGCTGCATGATCTCCAAGAGTGGTGCGGACTACGCCTACATCATGGAGACATTCGGGTCCTTCATGGCGCTCATGAGACTCTGAATTGAATGCATGAGACTCTGAATTGAGTGCATGAGACTCTGAATTGAGTGCATGATCATCATACAATAGACCTATCACACATTTATTGTACAGGTTGGGGCCTACTGCTACGCTGAGCTGGGCTGCATGATCTCCAAGAGTGGTGCGGACTACGCCTACATCATGGAGACATTCGGGTCCTTCATGGCGCTCATGAGACTCTGAATTGAATGCATGAGACTCTGAATTGAATGCATGAGACTCTGAATTGAGTGCATGAGACTCTGAATTGAGTGCATGATCATCATACAATAGACCTATCACACATTTATTGTACAGGTTGGGGCCTACTGCTACGCTGAGCTGGGCTGCATGATCTCCAAGAGTGGTGCGGACTACGCCTACATCATGGAGACGTTCGGACCCTTCATGGCGTTCATGAGACTCTGGATTGAGTGCATGATCGTCCGTCCGTGCTCGCTAGCCATCGTAGCCCTCACCTTCAGCGTCTACATCCTCAAGCCTTTCTTCCCAGAATGCAACCCACCGGACGAGAGCGTGAGGATGTTGGCTGTCTGCTGTATAAGTGAGTTCAAAACCTTCATTAAAATATTTTAAATACAGGAATTTTCGTACATACAGTAGAGATTTTTCCTCGCCGAAAAGACTTACTTCCTTTTTAAGAAGTAAAAATTTCTTAGTTGAGCTCTGAATGATCTTGTGGCCACGAAATTATCAATTGTTAAGTGCATTTGGTGATTTTATAGCGGTACTCAGGCCGGGGCACGTCCTGGAGTCTGTGGCAGTAATTATCGCCAGAACTGCACGACCTTAGACTAGCTCCACTTACAACAGATTGATTCGTTCGATTTATTTGCCTTTTGAAACATGCAAGCGAAACAGTGTTTGGAGAGAGTGTCCGAGTTATTGCTTAATCGCTCACAAATTATTCAACAAATGAGTAATAATCGTTTCTCTTACAACTATCCTAAGGACAAGGAACAAAATTACATGATATTAAAAAAAAAAAAAAAAAATACTTTTTTATTTTGTAATCATGCAACGTCTAGAGCTGTTTAAAGTTTTATTACCCTGAAGTATTTTGATAATAGAATATCTTCTTTTTTCTTCTGTGACGACGAAAGCAGAAGAATAATGGCATAACAAGGATTGTCTATAAAACATCTACAATGTTAGAAGATTTTATGTTTTAGAAATGAGAAGGGAACGAAGAACGAATGTGTAGCCGGATGAGAAAATTCCTTGCAATTTTGTAATTGAGAGCACTGTGTCTGGATGTAAACTTGCCACTCCTCAGATCGTTGTATGGTTCCAAATGTATCTGAAGATTTAAACCTTGCGTTAACCTATCGTTGTTTTTCGTGAACATAGATGTATTACAAAACTATATCACCTGCTCAATCAGATAAAGATAGCTTGAGAGGTGAACGTGAATCACCTGAACACGAGTCCTGAGAAATGTTTGCAGGTATTTGACATTGTGAAACTAACATGGCTGACTTGTGATTATACTTTGAAAATAATGTTAAAAAAATCCTATCTTGGTTATTTAAAAGGTTACCCAGGTTAATGTCTCACACTACTTTACTCTTACCCTGCATTCAGCTTAAAATATATACACAAAATTGCGTCTTTGTCTTAATTAAGTGATGTAACATTTTAAATTATATTTTAAGATTACTTTCGTTCTTAGAAGGGCATTAGGTTTAAGTGTAGTTAGTTCTAATGACGGGTACATAACCATAATGTTAGAATGTCTGCCCCCGCCCCACCCCGATCCATTGTAGGAGGGGGAATGGATCGATGGTACAGGGGAAGCTGCGACCTTCATCCCCCTCGTTTTACCCCTCTCCCCCATTCCACAACCATTACGTCCGTATCCTACCTTCTAACTCAATAATCAGCATGACGACCACGTGGTTTTCTCGTGGAAATGCAGATTGAACCACGTGGGCAGTATATTAAATTATCGTTGCATTCGAAACTTTAATCGTAATATTCATTCTCAAAACGTAAAAAGCATTCTCAGGAGAGGTACAAATGCGACATCACAGCAGCCCATAGCGAAGATGAGACAAACACACACAAATTGACACAACAATAATATAGTTTAAAAGATACATATATTGAAGATACTTAATGGATACTGTAGCGTGTTAAGCATATATCCTTCAACGCTTTATTTTCTTTATGATACTGCTGAGGTTTGAAGTATGTTTCCGACCCGGTTCGTCACAAACAAAACCAGAACCTCATCAGTGGTTTATTGAGGGCGTTTTTATTTTTCATTTCGTGTTATTAATTACACTTTAGAGCATATACTTATTCGCAAGCTAATGATTGTTATCTGATGTTTTAGCCTAAATATGAAGCGTAAAATGTAAAATCAACCCGTAAGTAATGAAAATATTTTATCAATTTCTCCGCCCTTGAACGTTACCAACACAAAACGCGCATCGTAACAGGCCTCAAAAACGTGTCCAAGAACTTTACGTTCAAAATTTAAATCAATTGTAACTATGAATAATTATGTAAATTCGTTTAAGCAGCTATTTTCCGAAGAAAAAAGTTTGCTAGTATTTCTATTAGTATGCACATTTTCAGAAATCTTCCTTAAATCTGGTTTTCAATCAGCTGACTTTATTTTAAACAGTTTACCCTTAAGTACATCAAGTAAATAAACAAATCCACAAAACATAACACGATGTAAACAAAATTTTAATAAAATGGGAGAAACGCAAAGTAAAAACGCAGTCGAGGAAAACCCTCCAGTTTACATACAAGAAGACGTTATAACCCGGCTGGAGCACCAAGTCACCATGGAGCAGCAGAAGAAATCTGAAGAGGATCCGAGGAAATACTGCATGAAAAACCCCGACGCAAAAGTTTACCTGTTGGACGGTGAGAGCACGAAAGAGGATGAGCTGGCGAAGAATAAAACCTACTGGAAGAAGAGAGTAGACGATGCACGAGAGCTTCAGGATAACATAAAAAAGGTGATTCAGTTAGAAAGAGACCAAGGGTTCAAGGATGTGCAAGCCACGCTGACATCTTCGACGGCCGAAGAGAAGGAAAACCCCTGCAAAGATAACCTGAGTGCTGTATCAGCCTGTTACAAGGAAAACTCCAAGGAGCCTCTGGTATGCGACGGGGACGTGAAGAAGTTCATCACCTGCGTCAAAACCGCGAAAATGGAAGTGCTGACGTCAAAGAAAGAAGAGGACGTTAAGTGAACATTTTTTTCTCACATCTCAAAATATGTTTCGATTGTTTCCAAATTATTAAATAAAGCTGAAATACTTTAATGTTAGTGAGTTTGAGGGGATTTGTTCTTGCTTGGTTTGTACATTTACAGTATTAGGCTATATGACTGAATTGATACCACATTTTGATTTTCACTATAAAGGAAAAATGCCAAATTTGACAATATATAAATAGTTTAGATTTTAATGACAAATTTTCTAATTAACATTTTTTGTATGATTTCTATTCTATTTAATTCTTACTTATGTTTTTTCTCTCATCAATAATAATTGGAGAAAATTATATTCACCACCCAAAATAGGCCTAGCAAACATTGTTCTATGTAGGAGCCGTATTGTTTAGTTCCATTCATTAATACATGGTATAATTGTTTGACCCAATACAATTTAGTATTAAAAATAAACATAGGCTATACTATCAGAAATAAATGTACAACGAAGGAAAAATAATTGATTTATTTATTGTATTTACTTAAATAGTTAGCGCCTTTATAAACTACGACGCAACACCGTGTATGTTCAACCATGCACACTGCATACTATAGTTTGCAGGGGTTAGCTAGTAAGTCAAATAAACTGTTAGCAATAGACGTTTTATCGGTTCAACATTCATTGGATAAAAAAAAACAATTTTTTGTTGTAACCTTAATCCGCATTACTATAAGTTTACTACTGTATAATATGTAAGTTGATGGTCGAAACCTTATCGTTTTTGAAGCAAACCTGCACTGAGCTCGATAAACTAAGTAGAAATAAACTCAAAAAAATAAATTTTGTTTTATGAATCTGTTTTCGTTTTCCTAACCGTACCATTTAAGTGAGTCCCATGGAAAAATAGAAGATGATATCTTCAAATTGGTTTATTTGAGCCATTTCAGAAACAGACAATAAGTAGATATTATGTTAAATTGTCTTAAATAAAATAAGAAACCTTGATTCTAGATTCCAAATGTTTAATATACACACAAATGTATAATTAAGAAACGCCTTAAACGAATTAATTGACTGTACAAATCTCCAACTGATGAGTAGTTAAATTGGATCACGTATAAAATAAAAATAGTGAAAAACGCTAATCCAATTTACCAACGCCCAGTTGATTGCTAGCAAACGATTGGATTTTACGGGTTCTCTGTTGTTACAAACAACAAGATTTATTTGTATGGAAATCAGCTGTTTTATTGACGTCCGTTACTTGCGAAGTATTTTGCTGTAAATGTTTCACCATTGCATTGTCAACATATGTTATCCTTGCCTTATTATTTGTTATTCAGTATAGTTTGAAATATGTTCAGTTTTTTTAGCGAATTTCCCTATAGGGAAGTAGCTATTACCGTAGGTGGCACGGTAAGACCTAGACCCGGGACCGATTTACTTTTTCATTTTGATGTCCCCAGAGGCCAAAAACACCATTCGTTCAAATTTTTATATATGTATATATATATAGACATATATATATATATACGTCCGTGAACGCGAAAACTTGAGTAATTTTTGTCCGATTTTGATGAAATTTGGTTTAAAGGTGTAAAGCGGGATAAACTTGAATGAGTTCGCGAACCAGCATGATCGGACCATGGGAACGGGGCTTTACGGGGGGTTTTATGGGGTAAAAATTGGTTTTTCTCACTTTTGACCCTCAAAACACAAATTTTCCCAATTACTCTTTAGACCTTTTTAAAGAGCTTAAAAAAACAAATACTAAAAGTATTTTTGTTCGGTTAATAGTAACGGAGAAAATTTAAAAAATTGTAAAGTTAAAATTCCCATGTTATTCTTATGGAGAATATTGTCAAATGTTGTAGTTTGCTTGTTTATGGATATATTTTGTATTTTGATCAAATTTATTTATTTTGTACTAAGCTATCAATATTTTACAAAAAAAACACACTTTATTAGTTTCCTTGTAGCAGCAAACCTAGGTACTCGTTAAACCTAATGTTATTAAAATATATTTAATTGAAAATCAATTAAGACAAATGGAAATTCGCTTAGTCGGCAGGTTTGCTGCGGCGGGGGTATTTTATAATCTAGTCAAACGGTAAACTATATTTGAGTGTTATTTCGTAAGAATCCTTGTAAAATGTATAAAGTCAGAAGAACATTACAACCACTGTAGTAATTTTCAAAGGCTGGAAATGCTTAAAATCTGTAATATACAGTTGAATTTTTTTAGCTGGAAGCAGTTATGGTGTGGTGGAATATCTTTGAAGATGAACCTATTTGGCTGTAGTGCGATCATGTGTTAATATGTGTCAAATTTTGAGGTTAAATCAAAACAAACTGGCATACTTGTAATTGA